TTGTATATTCAGGCTGTAGATCATTCAGGATTAACATGAAAATGTTTCAATAATCTGGTTCTACAGTTGTGCTCTTCATATATATTCTGATTTGGCTTGGAACCATTATTTTCAATTATATTTAGGAATAATGTGTATTGACTTATTTCTCAAGACATTAATTTCACCCAAATTTGTCTTTTAAATTTTATTATTTTGCCTTCTGTCTTTGTCTAAATCCAATTCCATTTAAAAACAAAATAATTTACATTTAATTTATTTTTAATCTAACATTACACATTTAATATTAATTTATTTTTAATTGTCCCCTTCCACAATTGATTTCTGTAGTCAGATATTGCTAAAGATAGTTCTTTCTTCTTAAGTAAGCATTAATGTTAAGTTTTTGAGAACAGGTCTCCAAATCTTATGATTTTTTTTGATTGTTCTGTTTCTGTGACTTACATTTGTGTGCCCTATGGAGAAAAGGACATCTTCTTAGCTATTTTGGAAAAACCCACTTTAGTGAGAAACTTTATGAAATAGTAGAATTTGGTATTTTGGTTGGTGTCTGTCTATGTTTTGAAATGGAAAGAAGCAGCATTAGTTAATCAAGGAAGAAGAGTGAGGACATTCAAGGCTGAAAAATGACTGGAGTAAGAATCAAGAGTTGAAAAACTGGGCCTCCCCAGGTGCGGAGCAGTTGAGCACTGGGTTGCAAAGTTGCCGGCATCCTCTGCGGCACCGGCTTGATCCGCTGCTGCTCCCCGGCCACCGGAGGGGAGTCCAGGCCACCGGAGGAGGGTCCCGTATGGCGCGCAGACCTCTCCTGCTGCCCGCTGCTCCCCTCAGAGGTGTGCTTCGGTCCTTTTGCCTGCTCTGCTCCCAGCTCTGGCTCTGGTGAATTCTCTCACTCTCCCGCATTTCTGACTGTACCCAGTGCTTGTATAAATAAATAAATAAATAAATCTTTAAAAAAAAAAAAAAGAGTTGAAAAACTGGTGATTCCATGACTTAAGAGAAATTTATATTTATATAAATTTATATTTATATAAATTTATATTTATAGTAGTCAAGCTATGGAAACAACCTCAGTCCCCCAAAACAGGGGAGTGGATGAGAAGATGTGTTATATATACACAATGAAATATTACTTAGCTGTGATTAAAAAAAAGACAAATCTTGCCATTTGCAACATTGATGAGATTGGAGGGGCTATGCAAAGTGAAATCTCAGAAGGACAGACATGTCTGTATGGTGTCACAGTCACATGTAAGTGAGCTAGAGAGAAACAAAACAAACGGTCAGGTAAAATAAAACTGAGGGGGAGGAAGAGAACAAATCGGGAGAGAACAAACATAATGTACTATGGCTGAGGACTATGGTGTTTTTTTATGGTGAGTGTGGCATAGTAACAACACCAAAGGGAGAGATCCTATACTTCTAAATCACAAGCAATGTTGTAAACCAGTGATACTCAATATTAAAAAAAAAAATAGAATTCCACGTCTAATGTCTTTCTAAAACCAAGGAGAAATTTATGTGGGGAGAGAATCAACCAATACAAAAAAAAATTTTTTTTGAAGTTGTTAAATGCATGTATGCATTGTAAATCTTCCTTTCTCTCCCATATGAAGTCTTTAGTATATTTTATATTTTACATTGGTGTTTGATGGAGTTGTTTTTTTTTTTCTATTTTTTGAGGCATATGTGAAGATGTTCTAAGTCTTATCTTGAAGGTTGGAGTTTGACAAATAAAATGCACCTGCTGTGAATGTCGACACCTGAGTTTCAACATAAGGAGGAGGGGTCTAAGAAAACGAAACTACTATAGATGAAAGAAAAAAAATCATTATGCAGAATTACAAATAAGCAATGTGCTTTAGGATATTTAGACCTTTAAGATATTATAAGAGGAAAATGTGATTCATTAAGAAGTATTTTCTTCATACAAATATTAATACAGTACTTGTTTAAGTAGATCTTAAAACTCAAGTGACTACAGGCTGAAAACCAATATTCAGAAACAGCTCTTAAAGAAATCTGCATATGGAAATTTCCCATGCAATGAAATTTTACTTTCAGACTAAAAAAATATTTTTTAGTTGAATTTTTAGTGTGTCCTGGGTTATCCTGCATTTTACTACTCATTATGACCTTTTCTTCATGAGATAAGTTGCCAGCCTGAACAGTGATTTTGAGTTTGGCACTGATCTAGGCCTAGATTAAGCACTGAGCACATATTTAATGAAATTAATGAATGAACTAATGAACTGTACCCTTTATTTTCAGATCTAACTAGCCAGGCAAAGATTTGCTGCTTGTCTTAAGTTTATTAATTGTGTTAAGTTACTAGCCTAAAAAAAATCTGGTGAATGTTTAAAGTGTTGTAGTACTTATCGATTTCTATTTCAAACAACTCCTCTTCCCTCCATTTGACATTCTTTACTTTGGTTAAAGGAATGTTATGCATATGTAAGTGAGATGTAGTTGGGCTTTTAGAGTCAGAAAAATGTGATAGCATAGAGCTTGTTGGGCTACTCCTGAAGATAAAATACCTTTAGACATGTTCAGATAGTCTTCATGATGGGAGGTAGGGAAATGTTCAGGACCTTTATTTAAATATTGTTTATTATCCCCACTCTGCCTCCAATATTAAGACTGAGGGTAAAGAGGCTTAGAGCTGATAGGGTAAAAAATAAAATGGTGTATAAAGGATGAAGTCATGGCATCAAACCAGCTTCCTGGTGATTTTATTATCTTTTACTTTCAGAAATAATGTGACAGTACTCCAGTTCATATAGCATCACAGGGCTGACTTAAAAAAATAGGGAAAACATAATAAGCATCTCTGTGTATACCACCTATATTGTAGATATTTTTCCAGCTTCGGTGTTCTTTTCCTCTATTCATTGGAAATCACCATAGAATTTGATGTTTAGATTTGATTCTCTCTTTTTAAAATATTTTTACTTTATACATATGTATCCATAACTGTTATATAATATTACTTTGCATATTTCTATAACTTGATTACAAACAGTAATTTTCTTCCTCTTGAAAATTAACTTTTATGTTTTGGCTATTTATATATAATTGATATATCCTCTAATCCATTCATTTAATACACTTGTTTCATCATATCACACTGTATTTACCCATTTTGTGACTGATTTTTAAATTTTGATAGCTGTCATTTTTTTTGCATTTGCAAACAATTTTTTTTTAATTCTCCTTTTTGGTTTTTTTTTAATCTATCTATCTATTTATTTATTTATACAAGCACTGGGTACAGTCAGAAGCACGGGACGGTGAGAGAATTCACCAGAGCCAGAGCAGGGAGCAGAGCAGGCAGAATGACCGAAGTACACTGCTGAGGGCGCAGTGGGCAGCAGGAGAGGTCTGTGCGCCATGTGGGACCCTCGTCCAGAGGCCGGGGATCAAACCGGCGCTGCAGAGGCTGCGGGCAGCTTCGCAACCCAGCACTCAACCGCTGCACCACCGGGGAGGCCCTGCAAACAATTTTTTAATGAACATTTGTGGATGCTTTCTTCTGCATATTTTTGAGAATTTCTTTGTTACCTGCAAGTAGATTTGTTGGGCCCAGAAGTTAATATATCTTTAATTTTACTATACTATAACAAATTGCTTTACCAATTGATAGCCAAGTTAGCTACTCGATTTTTTCAAACTTTTAATTTTTGCTAACCTAAAGGGCATGAAAGGTATACCATTATTCCTTAATTATGAATAAGCTTGAGCACCATTATATAGGTTTTATTGGATATCTATTTGTCCTCTCCTGAATATCTTTGTCCATCATTTTTCTTTCTTTCTTTCTTTCTTTTTTTTTTTCCCTTTCACTTATAGATGTGCTTCATGCATTCTGGGTACTTTCTTTTTCTTGGTATAATCATTACAAATGTATTCTCCTAGTAAGTAGTTTCTCTTGTCATTCTGTCTATCCATCTGTTTACGAAAGTGAGTTTATAATTTTAGTAGCCAAATATCTTAGGCTTTTCCTTAAAGTTTTGCAGGGACTTTTTGTATCTTGTTTAATAAACAGTGTTTAAATCCAAGATTATAATATATTTCCTTACATTTTCTTCTAAGCATTTGACAGTTTTGCCTAATGTATTTAATTGCGAAGGACTATTGGTATGTTGATGATAGGTATGCTGTGATGACATACGTCTGAAGAAGTGTGATCCTGTATATCTGAGTCATATGATTACAACATTGTTGTGAATCAGTGTTACCACATTAAAAATTCAAAAAGAAAGAAACATTGATCTGTGTTCAAATGATTCCTGGGCATGTGGTTAGGTACAGATCCATTTCATTTATTTTTTCCATAAAGATATCAGTTGTCCCAGCACCACTTATTAAACAGCATGTCCTTTACTCACTGACTTTAATGCCTTTTCTCCTATATATTAAATTTCCATGTGTACATGGGTGTCTGTTTGTTCATTTTGGCTTTCTTCCAGAATCAGCAAGCTGCTTTTCTTTGCCCCCTGTAGTTTATAACTTCCACCTTTTTTTACTTGAGAAATCTTTTTAGATTTTTTTTCTCAGTTCTGTCACACACTTGTGAATTTGGGTAAATGTAATATGATTTTAATTATTTGTCATCATTTTTTCTATCATAACATGTCTCTTAACTAATCAACTGGAATGCATTTCTACTTTTCCGAACTATCTCTTTTTATCCATGGTTGTTTTTTAAAAAGGATTAATTTTCTTTTACATTCTTTTTATTGATAGAAGTATTAGAGTTGGATGTACAATTGAAAATGTTGTAATTTTTAATTTTTATGATACGAAAGACAAACTTTCAAATACTTTTTTAAACATATATTAAAAACCTGAATTTTCTTAGTGGCTAGGAAATATTTTGATTCAAATCTTAGGAATAGTATGATTCTATATAAATAGGTAGCATTTTTTTTTTTTTGCTTGAAAGTCATTAAACGTTAGTCCTTATCTTGCTATTATTAACTATATCATCTATTTTTTAGATGATTGGAATCCATTTTCATATCCTTATAAAAAGCTGGATTATGGGAAATGGGAGCTGATTATCCCACCAAAGCAGAATAAATCTCCATTAATACCACATGGATCCAAATTAAAGGTACTTTCTTTCCTTCTGTTTTTATATGAACCTATAATTTTTTTATCCTGTTTGCAAAGTATGATTCAGAATATTAAAATGTAAACTGATGCATGATAATTGTAGGAGAAACAGTCTAAAATGGGAAGGATACTTAGGAGAGGACTTGGGCAGATTGGAATCTCTTAGCCTTGTTGGGTTGGTGAGTTACTGAACTTGTCAGTTGTATTATTACATATATTAACTTTGGAAACTTTATATAAGAAGCATTTGATTAATTGTAAATGTTAAGCTCGGAAAACAGAATATTTGATAGAGAAAATCTTTCTAATCTGTACTTGAATGGAAATTTAATTCAAGTCAGCAAATGCAGAGAGAATATTTACCTGTAAAAATCTTGATAAAATTCATTCTGTGATGAGTAGCATGAATGAATGTGGGTGGTTGATTGTATGTATGTTGGAGACTTACTCATTTTGGAGACATGTTTTCTCTGGTTCTTGCCTTTTCTGATCGTTGTCATGGGGACTCTTATTCAGTTATTTTCCTATGGTAGGATTACCCGGATTCACTGGGGAACTGCCTATCACAAGCAGACAGAGCATCCTTCTCATGCCTTGTCCTTTGATTGACCTTCAGGACTCTCTTAAATCCTTAGGGGAGGTTTGAGGAATGAGTTATAGATTTAAGGCACTTAATTATATAAGAAGCTGTCTAAATTATCTAATGTTTACTTAATTTTAGCTCATGCTCCTATAATTATATAATATTTCCACCTCCCTGTGTCTCTATCCTTCCTTAGACATGGAATAGCATTCATAGTGTTTTTCATGATAAATCCTGTGACTGAATAATTATTTGTATTGGCATTTGTTATTTGTTTCTAAGACTTAAAGTATATTTAAAATCAAAATACATCATATGTTTTGCAGGTTTTTGTTTTCTTTTACAAATCATGAAATTATAACTGTATCTGAAAATTGCCGAAATAGTGCCACAAATAATATAGTTACCAGAGAAAATGTTGTCTGAAATAAAAAGACTTTTTAACATGGAATGGCAGCCAAGGTTCTTTTTAATCTGTATTGAAAAGGAGAAAAAGTAGCTACAGTATACAATAAGAAGGATTTAAATTTCATATGAATAATCCCCTTTTCAAATCAGTATAAGCTTTAGAAGAGCATAGGAGCATTTGCTATTTTGTTTGCTAATATTGTATATTCTTAATTCTTAGAACACTGCCTGGCACAGAGTAGGCACTCAAGAAATATTTATTGAATGTTAATGTGCTTTTAGGTCCAATCTTTGAAGGAATAAGCCAACTAGCTTGATTCCTTTCTGGATTTATAAGGTCTGATGTCTGGAAACCGAGGCAAGGCAACACTTTGATTGTTGAATTCACTATTATTATTTCATTATTGATTTAGATCTTTGACCTCTTTTAAAAGAAAACTAAATTTGCTATATTTAAAATTTTTTTCAGCCTCATTAAATCAGAAATTTCTGTGAGCTCTGATACCTTACCAACTTTATTTCATTAAATGGTGAATGAATTAACTTTGATTACTTTTCATATATACATGGGGAAAATAATTGATTGCTAGGAATGAATGCTTAGTGATATATATTGGAAATAATTGTGGGCATTTACTCACCCATCTGATTCCAAATCTTCTATAGTTTTTGCTGTGGTATGAATGTTTGTGCCCTTCCACCTCCCCTTTTTTGAGGCAGTCCTGATGTGATGGTATTAGTTGGTAGGGCTTTGGCAGGTGCTTAAGTCATAAGGGTGGAACTTCTAAATGTGTTTAGCATCCTTAGTAAAAGCCATTCCATGGTGATTTTACTAGTCCCTGACCCCATATAAAGCTATAACAAGAAGTCTGTAACCTAGAAGAGGACCCTCACCTAAGTATGCTGGCACTTCTGTCTCAGACTCCCCCATCTAGACCCATTAAGAATATATTTCTGTTGTTTGTTAGCATACAGTCTTGGTATTTTGTTACCACAAGTCTATTGGACTAGGGGAATTTCTCTACTGTGCTATGTACTATACTTTTAAAAAAAATTATCTGGATGATATGAAATCAATCAATAGTAAAAAAATGTGACTTTACATTTTTACTTGCCTTTAAAAGTCTGTTTAATAGCAAATTAAATATTTAACAAGTATCAAGACAACTATTGCATAATCTTTCTTCACTATTATTTTCTGAAAATTTCAATTGAAGATAATTACCTTGAAATTTAGGTCCAAAATATTATTTATAGTGCTTAGATGTTTCAAAAGTTGAGGAAATATTTAGATGCTATTATAATGTTAATATGGTGATATAATTAGTTTTTCACTTGTGGGAAATGGCATGTCAGATTTTCTTTGGGGGAAGGTTTAAATTCTATATGAAAAATCAACTGACTTGAGGTTTTTGGCCTTTCAATCTGAAGTTGTCCCTAGGTAGTCTATCATGGTAATTAAAAATCTTGTTTTAAATTGAACTTGAAAATTTATTTCAGTCCACAAGGAATTGACCTTTATAACTTCTTGAGGATTTTTCTCTTATGAATTATCTGATAACCATTAACATAAAAGAACTATTACCTATCATCAAAATAATAGCTTTGTTTTCTCAGCAAAACACCTGGCCTTTTTAGTCAAATGCTTTGGAAGAAGATACCTGACTGTTTATATGGTCATGTAAATGTCTTTTTTCAAATGTTATTAAGTGATTTCTGCTAAAAACAAAAAAAAAAATGATATTGTGAATTAAACATTCCAAACTGTAAAGATGTTCCTGAAATAATGAAACAGGTATTACTTACATCTTTAATACATTTTCTTTTGGATACAAACCCAAACTAATTAATGCAAAGGTAATTTTTTGTTCTCTTTTAAATTATATACCTTTTATGACACTATTGCATTTTATAAATTTCTCAGGTTGTTTCATAGAAATTTAACACAATTATCTGATGTATGTCAGGCGCTGTCCTTGATCTGTTGATGCACGCACTAAATTGTCATATGTGTGTGTGGGGTGTTTTAAAATAAAATATTACTGCAACAGACCATTAGTGAAGAATTTATTCATCCTATTATGGTAACAGGGGAAATAACAGAGGGATAGTACCATTCAAGCATGCCTGATAACACGTTTAGATGTTCACCAGAGAGACAGAGAGGTGCAAGGGTATTTTAACCTAAGAGTACTGCATGATTAAGAGTGTGCATATTGATTACAGTCCCAACAGGAACGAAATGATATACTCAAGACAGGGCAATGTTAATAGTTGTTTCCTTTTGCTCTAAAAGATTGTTTTCAAAGTGCAGCATGCAAGGAATTTACTCCAGAATGCAAAAGAGGGTCAGAACATGAGCGACACACACTGCCACCTTGAGAGAAGTACTGGGATCTTATGAGAGACACAGTTAGTTCATGGTAACCTTTCAGAGAAAAACCTGGAGAAACAATCAGATATGCTGATCTTTCACTCTTTTGCTGTCTCTGCCATCTTACTGGGGCTCTACATCACTCAAATCCAGTGAGAATCCAGAATCCTGGGGAATATATTGTCCATGTAAGGTAGCCTCCTAGAGCTGGGTGAGAAGAGGGCCTGTTCTAATTGCTAAAATGAAGCTCAGAGCTCAAGGTGAGGGAAAAGTCAAAGGTCTGGTGGGTTGGAGGCACCCTATGAAGAATTTGTTTTCTTCTGATTCCTTATTTTTCTCATTTATCATTCCATTTAATGCTGTTAAAAATTATTAAAGAAGACAAATTAGGTAATATAAAACAAACTATCTTACACCTAATGAAGACACTTTATACAATTAGAGATTACATTCGTATTTACTTTAATCTTTGCGGCACAACTGTTAAGACAAGGTATTTTCTTTTCATCAATGAGTACACTGAGATTTAGAGGGGCTAGGTAGATGTTCAGACCTGGACTTCAGTTCAGGCTTGAGTGATGGCAGAGTTTATGATCTTAACCATTACACTATTCTTGTGGTCAGGTTAAGGGTTCACAGAGAAAACAGGGAAAGGGTGATATAGAGAAGGTAAAACTTGCGCCTTGTCCCTGTTTTAACAGATCATTTTATACCTTATTTGTTTCAGTTTTTGTTTTTGTTTTTGTTTTTTGGTATGGAGAATATTATACTCACTTTTCAGGGTGCTGTGAAACAGTATTGAAGTGATCTTTTCTGAGAATAGGAAGGATATAAATAATTTGTGGAAAGATTGAGCTTTAAAGTGTAAGAGATCCTTGGACCTCCCTGGTGGTGCAGGCGGTTGAGCGCTGCACTGTGAAGCTGTCTGCAGCCTCTACAGCATGGGTTCGATCCTGGCCAGCCAGTGAGATTTGCACATGGCGAAGCAGACCTCTCCTGTCTCTCCCACTGCTCCCCTCAGCAGTGTATTTCTTCAATCTGCCTGTTCTGTTCCCTGCTCTGTCTCCGGTGAATCTTCTCACCCTCCTGCGCATCTAGCCTGTACCCCAGCTCTTGTATAAAAATAAAATAAATCATTAAAAAAAAAAAGTGTAAGAGATCCTTAAGAGGACTAATTTTTGAGAGCTGGAATAAGATTGCTAAGCAGAAGGATGCCAGTGAGAAGTCCCTGACTAGGGTATATATAGCATGTGGAACAATAGTTACCTAAATATTTGCTTAAAAGGTTAATCTGAAAATCACTTTATCCTTTATTTCTGAAATATTTTCTTATGTTATTTCTTTATCATTTTCTTCTCTCCATATTTTATGATCACACTTTCAGAAATTTCTTATACTTGACATCTAGATCTTCTAGATTTTATTACCATTTTTCTCAAGTTGGCCATCATTTTAACAGGGCTTGAATCTCATGAACTTCATTTTGGATAGTCAGAAAATAAGTGGGCCTTTATATGGGTGGTAATAAGTAAGGGTTTTTAACTGGGATCATTTATTTTTGTTCCAGAGATGAATTTCCAGTGTCCTACAAGGGGGAGGTGGAAGGGATATGAAATGAAGGACTTTTTTACTT